CCCACTTGCTTTATAGGGCAACAGACAAAGAAGGCATATTGCCAGCAAATAGCCTCACAATTTTACCTCATTTCACCCCTATATCTATTGCGCAAGCATAATAGAAACTGCTTTGAACCATCATGATGAGAACTCATATCTAATACCTGGGAAGCAGAGATTGTTACATCTATGGATCCTGGGAAGAAAACTGTAAGAAAGAATAACAAAAAAGCCACTTTACACACACTAAAATTCACTTACACCTGGTTTTACAGATTGTTGGTGTAAGTGAGAAACCATACTGAGAATTAACTGGGGAGCATCCCTTCTGGGCCTAGAATCAGGAAGATCTGGATTCAAATCCATCATCAGACACTTACTAGTAACCTTAGGCAAGTCACTCAACCCTTTGCTTGCCTCAGTTTCCTCAACTGCAAAGTGGAAGTAACAATAGTACCTACTGCCTAGGGTTATGGTGAGGATGAAATATTTGTAAAAAGGACTTATCCCAGTACCTGGTACATAATAGGTGCTGTATAAATGCTTATTCCTTTCCCCATAAGGAACATCCTAAATTGTACCAGTCTGTTGTAGCTATTTTTTTTAAAGGAAATTGAAGGTTTTCCCCAGAAGAAGCAAAGCAGCCAATGAGGCTAAAAAGCACTAGGACTTTATTTGATGCATTTTAACTCACAGAGGGGAAGGTGCTTAACCATAGACATATGTAAGTAGTGAAGTAAGGGAAAGAGACGGGAGGAAGGGTGACTCTATATTACCTTCACCTGACAGACAAAGCTATTGCTTTTTCACCTGAAGGGTAGACTGTAATCTTCAGCTTAATCAGCAGGGAAAAGGGAAAGAAAAGATGAGAAACCCTCACTTTGAGAGGATCCTTAGACCACTAGAAGATAAGGAAGGGGTCTGGGGGTGGGAAGCTCCCTCCTCACCTAGCATCCAGGTTAGACCAAAATCTCATGCCTTCTCCACTTTGGGGCTGGCATACCCTTCATTGGCCCACACAGTAAGGCTGTTGCCCAATAGAGATGAAGGCTAGGGGTTTTGTGGTAAGGGGCAGGGGTCTCCCTCAGGCAAGTCTGACTAGCTGTTTGTCACACCTCTGATGTCACAGGAAGGTAGTTTTGAACTAATACCTATTGTGTATCAGTCACTGTGCCAAGTGTTTTTAAAAAATATTATCTCATTTGCTCTTCACAACAACCTGAGAGGTAGGTGCTTTTATTATCCCATTTCTTACAGTTGAGGAAACTGAAGCAAATAGAGGTTAAGTGACTTGCCTAAGGTCACATAGCTAATGAGTGTCTGAGGCTGGATCTGAACTTAGGTCTTTCTGAATCCCGGCCCAGCGCTCTAACCTTTGGGCTCTCTAGCTGCCTAAGAAGGCATAAATTAACTAGCTAAGGGAAAATTTCCAACCAGGAAGAGTCCAGATAGGTACAGTTTTAGACAAAGAACAGGGACTGGGTGGGATAAGAGGCAAGACTTGGGAATAGAGGGTGGAGGAGAGAAGGTAGCCAGAATAGAGACAAACTATTTCAAGAAAGGCCAAGCTCAGAAAACTTGAGGATTTTTGGATTACTATATAAAATGTAAGGAAAAACACATGCCACTGTCCAGAACTGTTCTTTTTCTCAAAAGTATAAAAACTAGGGGCTGCTAGGTTGCCCAGTGGATAGAGCACTAGCACCAGAGCACTGTAGTCAGGAAGACCTGAGTTCAAATCTGGCCTCAGATACCTGACACCTACTAGCTATGTGACCCTGGGCAAGTCACCTGACCCCATTGCCTAGCCAAAAAAAAGTGTAAAGACTGGGAACTGTCGGCTTAAGTAAGAGTCAAGCAACAGCTACCTCATGTCCCATGGAAGTCTCTGATCCATCTTCCACTAGAGCAGGGGTGGGGAACCTATAGCCTTGAGGTCACATGTGGCCTTCTAGGTCCTCAAGTACAGCCCTTTGACTGAATCCAAATTTGTTCCATGAAGTTTGGATTCAGTCAAAGGGCTGCACTTGAGGACCTAGAAGGCCACATGTGGCCTTAAGGCCAAAGGTTCCTCACCCCTACTCTAGAGAGTGGGTGTTGATTGGGAAAGAAGAATAAAAGCCCTTAGAACAAGGTTCTACCATCATCTGTTTCAACCTGAGAAGGTTAGATTAGTGGGAGAAGCAGCAGGAAAGCTTCTGTTTTGTTATTCAGTTGTGTCCCACTCTTTGTAACCCCATGGACCATACTCTCCATGGGATTTTCTTGGTAAAGATACTGGAGTGGTTTGCTATTTCCTTCTCCCTTGAATTAAGGCAAACAGAGGTTAAGTGACTCAAGGTCACATAGCTATTAAGTGTCTCAGGTCAAATTTGAACTCAGGTCTTCCTGACTCAAGGCCTAGCACTCTACCCACTGAGCCATCTAGATGCCAGGCTTTGTTTAACTTCCTGCATTCTCTTCTCCAGCTGTTACCCTGAGGAATACAGTTCTTCCTCCAAACATACTTTACTACCTCTCAAGAGATAAGTCTCAGAAGGAGACAGAATATTCCAGCCAGGCAATGCTCTTAGCTTTAAGTTCGATTAGTTTGGTCATGGGCTATTCTAATCAATTAGCTACTTGCTCTGGCTCTAACTTTGATTTGGTTCAGAGACTGTAGTGTATCTTCTTTTGTCCTTCTTCTTATAACTACCTTTTTTTAAAAAATAAGTTTGATGTTTAATTAAAAACTGAATATTGATAATCGACATACCCAATTGAACTTGCTTGTAACTAGTTATATTTAAATGAAGTAATTTCAGTGAATGAGAAGCAGTGTGGCATACCAGAGAACACACCCCAGGGTACTGGGATAGAGAGCTGGTCTTGAAGCCAGGACACCTCAGGTTCAAGTCCTTCCTCTGACACATTGGCCGTGTGATCCTGAGAAAATCATTTAGCATTTCAATGCTATGGTGCTAATTCTCCCTAAGACCATAAGTTACAAAGAAGGTGTTGACCTGCATTAGTAGATGAAATTTCTTTATCCAAAATTTCCCGGTATCAATGAAACCACCATCTGTCTGTCTGTCTGTCCATACACATAGGTGAAATAAATACTGATTATACATATATACATATATATGTGTTTATGCACATACACATATGCATAGCCTTATGGATAAAGGGATAGCCTAAAAGTTAGGAAAGACCTGGGTTCAAGTCTAGCTCTGAGGAAATCACTTAACTTCTCAGGAAATTTTCTAACACTGTAAGTTGCAGAGAGGGTACCTACCTTCATTAGTAGAGGGAATTTTTAAATACCAAATTAAATCACAGATCTACCTATTCCTAATTTCTTTTCTTCTTTTGGTGAGGCAACTGGGGTTAAGTGACTTGCCTGGTCACATAGCTAGTAAGTATCATGTGTCTGAGGTCAAATTTGAACTCAGGTCCTCCTGACTCCAGGGCCAGTGCTGTCTCCACTTCGCCACCTACCTGCATCTCCCCACCCCTTCCTAATTTCAATGTATTTGTAGAGAGGGAAGTCAGTCAACAAATATTTATTCAATGCCAACTGTGTGCCAGGCACTGTATTAAGAGCTGGGGATACAAATACAAAAAAAAACAACAACAAAGTCCTTACCCTTGAGGAGCTTACAGTCTAATAGGGGAAGACAACATACAAAAGGAGGGGTCAGAAAATGAGACCAGACTATAGCTACTGGTATGGAATAAAGGTCAATAGTCTGCCAGAAATTTCCAACATTGCTATTTTGCATAGAATTGGGGCTTCTGGAATAACCTTAAAACAATTTCTTTACCAATGTCCTTTGGTCCTTTTTCCATTGGAAGAAGTGGAGCTTTGGAGGAGAGGATGTGATGAATTCTAAGAAGCCAAAATGGGTTTCTGATTATAAGCTGGGAGAGAATAGAGAAGAGTTCTGAGAATAGGTCAAAGGGCAGATCTGAGCTTAGCCTAAGCTTCTATCTTCTGTCCTCCCCTGCTGATGGGAAAGAGCTAATCCTTAGCCATTGATTGAGAAGACTGAAGAAAGCTTCATAGCGGTTGTTTGAGAGTGCTGTGGACAGGACTAAAGCCAAGTTTCATAGCTATTAGTAAAGAACACCAATGGGCCACCATTTAAGTACAAGCCCTTACCACCCCTCAGTTAGACTAACTGACATATCTATGTCGTTTCTCTCCTCTAATCCATTTTCTATACAGTTACCAAAGTGAGTTTCCTTAAGTTGAATTCTGACCTTCTCCTGCTCGATAGACTGTAGTGGCTCCCTATTATCTCTATATTATTGCATGCCATGCTATGCACAACTCCTTTTGTGTAATTTTTCTCTTTGCAACCCTGGGGCTTTAACTTGGTACCTGGCACATAGTCGGTGTTTAATAAATCCTTGTTGATTGAGTAAGTACTGACTGAATAGAACTATAGTACTCAGTGACTAAAAAAAGTCAGCCATCCTTAAAAATAGTGGGGTAATAATGAATGAATAAAACAGTTCACCAATGCTCTAAAATCTGCAAAACACATTCCTTATAACAATTATATAAAGTAGATGGCATAAATATTTCTATCTATTTTACATATGGGGAAACTGAGTCACAGAGCAGGGAAATGATTTATGCAGGGCTACACAGCTTTGCAAGGGACTTGAATCCAGGTCTTCTAACCCCAAGACCCTTGTTCTTTTCACTACATTCTAGGGACCCCTCCACATTGCCTGCCAAATAAGATAACTATAATAATGGCTATGTTAATTAAGAGGCAAAAGAAATCACTGTAGGCTAAGGTGGTCAGAATGGACTTTATGGAATAGGTGGGATATGACTAGGCTTTTGAAGAAGAGTAAGGAGAAACTTGGGTTGAAATCAGGACAAAAGATCTGGTCCTGAAAGAGATTGTTTCTCCAATTCAGAGGCAGGGGAGGGGGAAGCCAGGCTTTTTGGGGCGGACAGAGGAAGTTAGGGAACTTGCCCAGGGGTGGGATCATTTCCCTTTTACCAGACCCACTGGCCAATTGCTTTCTGTCTTTCTGTTCCTCTTGACTGGCCATCTCCTCTTTAGTATGTCTACAACTCCTGAGGCATTGCATCCTGGAGCCAGATCCTAGGGCACTGCCAGGATGAAGGTCCTTCCTTGGCTCTTCCTCCTTATGCTTATCCACCCCCAGGAAGGTAAGTGAGCATGACCCATTCTTGCTCCCCTGTGCCCCATCTCCCTTTCCCCTTCTCTAAGGCTTCAGTGTAGTTGGGAGGAGGAAGTTGCTAGCCCCATGGAGAATTCAGCCCTTCAAGGCCCTTTCTCTTGGCTCCAGCTGCACTCAAGGACAGTTGTTCTCTGTGTGTCCTTTTTGCCTCTTTCCGTTAGTCTCTGAGGCTATCTTACCGCCTAGGAGAATTATAAGGCAGGTGTGAATGGGTGGAGAGAGCTAGAGGTATAGGAAGAGGAGTAAAAACCTTGAGTAAAACCAGAAGGAAAAACAGCCGCTACATGATGTTAGAGCTGGAAGGACCCTTGAAAAGCCTCAAGTGGGGTCCAATCCACTCATTTCTATAAATGGGAAAAGCCTGACCTCTAGAATGATGCCCAACTCCTTGGGTTTCAAAGATAGTGGTATTAACAAACAGGTGGCATCCTCAAACCAGGATTTTTTTCTGACTGAGCTGCCTCAGCCTTATACAGGACCTGGAAGTATGAAGGAGAGGTGAGTTCTCACTAGGTGCAGCACTCCTTTGGCACCCTGCTTGACACTTTTTACTGGTTAATAGCTACTTCATACAGAAAGACCTCTTACCAATCCTGGAGACCATGCCTCTTTTTTTTTTAATCATAAAAGATTATGAGCATCAAGGCAGATAAAGTATCTGGGAAATGCTACAGTTCTTTGAAAATCCAGATAAGAGGTCATCAAGAATTTGGACTGAACTTATTAGCACCTCACTGCATAATAATCAATTAGCATCTATTTATTAATCAGTTACTATGCTCTAGGCTCTGCAGGAACAGAAGACCCTGTTCTCAAAGGGCTTACATGTGGGTTCGTGTGTGCATATATGTATATATACACACATGTGCATATATACATGTATATATGCGCGTGTGCATATATATCTAGATACACATACCTATACATATATGTAAATTTATACATACACATTGTATATATGTGTCTATATATATACAAGCAAGCATGCATACATACATATATATGTATATATATATATATATACACACACACACACACACACACACACACACACACACATACATTTTAATCAATACTTAGAAACTCTTAGGATGACAGAACTGATAGGAACCATAAGACATAGACTATAGAATGTCAAAGCCAAAAGGGATTCTCAGAGAAGATCCTTTGGAATTTATTAGAAGAATCCTTTAGATTGTAAGCTCCTTGAGGAGGGCAGGGATTATCTTTTTATTAATCATATCCCCAGCACTTAGCACAGTGCCTGGCACATAGTAAATGTTTAATAAATGTTGATTGGATTAGGTTGGATCTCATCCTAGGGAGCCTGTTGGCCTTAGGCTGAGAACTTCAGCTGAGCCAGAATGGGGTCAGGTTGGTGCTTCAAGGACAGAGGGTTAGACTTGGAGTCAGGAAGACCTGGGTTCAAATCCTGCCTCTGGCACTTACTAGATGTATGACCCTAGGCAAGTCACTTAACCTTTCTCAGCCCCAATTTTCTTTTTTTTTCTTTTTTTGTGTGAGGCAATTGGGATTAAGTGACTTGCCCAAGGTCACACAGCTAGTACATGTCAAGTGTTTGGTCTGAGGTCGGATTTGAATTCAGGTCCTCCTGACTTCAAGGCCAGTGCTCTATCCATTGTGCCACCTAGCTGCCCCCAGCCCCAATTTTCTTACTGTAAAATGGGGATGATAATATCTGTATTGCTTGCTTCACAGAGTTGTTATGGGTTTAAATGAAAAAGTATGTGTAAAGCACTTTGCAAAATTTGAAGTGCTATTATGTTCATCAGGAAAAGGACAATCTGGAGAGGACCCTGATACAGAAGAACTCACGGCAGTCCTAGGAGAGTCAATCATTCTCCCCATGAACATCCCAGAAGGTGAACGATTTGAGAAAATTATTTGGATTTTCCGATCACCTCTTGCCAGCATTAAAGAAGGAGCCGCAAGAGAGCCCACCATCACTGTATCTGACCCTCGCTACAAGGTCCTAGTGAATAGCTCTGACAAGATCTACTCCCTGAAGATCAGCAACCTGAGCAGGGAGGATGAGGGAACTTACAGAGCAGATATATTCACTGAAGATCCTTTGGGCACCATCACTAGGAAGTTCACCCTACGCATTTACCGTGAGTCTGCTGGGCAGGGCACCTGATGGCTGGTTTCTCTAATGTTTGTTCAAGGAGCTGTGTCTGGGAGGGCGACAGAAGGCGCCTCTGGTGATCCTGTCCTTCACCTTCCCTTTACCTGGGCTACCTGTGGCTGATCCCCAACCAGCTGGGGTTGCTGGTTCCAAGGTTCCCATTGAAGATCAAGGAAACATCCAAAGTCTCGGCCCCAGCTCCATGAGAGTGGTAGGCAGGGGCCCCTAGACCTATAGGCACAAGTTTAGGATAACTGATCTGGGAGAGACCTTGAGGCCAGGTATAGGCCCTAAATTTTACAAATAAGGAAACAGGCTCAGAGAAGGTTGTGATGTGTCCAAAGTTACAGAGACCACGGAATTACACAGTTGTTAAGTGGCCAAGCCCAATACTGAACACAGGTATGCCACCAAATCCATCCCTCTAATATGCCATAGTGACAGGAGCTGAAAACCTCATTGCTCAGGAGAGGTCTTTGTGAATGAATGGAAGATACCCCAAAGTTTGTGCCTCCCACCCTCTGAAGACTACAGCCCCTTTGTTTTGTTACAAATGAAACCTCCCTTACCCATCCTTTTCCTTCTTTGACCATCCTGATAAAAGGGAGGCAACCTTGTTACCTGGGCACAGAATAGGTAGGGGTCAGCTCCACAGCAATGTTGAGAAGGCCTTTCCTTCAGCACTTCCCTAAGTATCTCTCACTGACTAAAATTCCACTACTAGAGGTTCACTCCTTTGGATTTATCCTAAAATACCTTAAATCTTATCGGTTAACACCTTATAGAGATCTGGAGGAATGGGGAGGAAGGGAGGGAGTGGTTGTTGAGTTGTTAAGAGGGGCAAAAAAGGGGTAGTAGGTGCTCAGCACAAACAATGGGGTTTTTTTTGGGGCAATTGGGGTTAAGTGACTTGCCCAGGGTCACATAGCTAGTAAGTGTCAAGTGTTTGGTCTGAGGCCAGATTTGAACTCAGGTCCTCCTGACTTCAGGGCTGGTGCTCTATTCACTGTGCCACCTAGCTGCCCCAAATTGGGAAGAATTTAAAGAAAAATAAGAATATAATAGAACATAGATAATGTTAATATGTTTTCTAGATCAATACGCAGCCTGCAGGGATCTTTATGTACAGTTCAGCCTTTCTTTCTGAGTTTTACTCCACTGATCTTATCCAGTCATGTTACAGATGAGGAAACTGAGGCTCATAAGGAGAAGTGACTTATCCAAGGTCACACAGAGAATAAATGGCAGACCTAAAATTGGAACTGAGGTTTGAGAGCTCTCTGATTCCAGAGTTCTCTAATATTCTTTCTGAAGCGCCAAGAATAGGTATTAATTCTTGATTCCCAGGGTCTTCATACTCTCTTTCAGGACGACTTCCAAAGCCTAAAGTCACCATATACTTGGAGATCTCAGAAGAGTCCGCGTGCAATATCACTTTAAAATGTCACGTGAATGGGAGTGGAGATGATGAGGAGTATGCCTGGATGCCCCTGGGAGCAAGGACTGTTGTGTCAGGTGGGGGCTCTGTCCTCCACCTCTCCTGGAAGCCTGGAGACAGCGACTTCACGTCTACTTGCATAGTGAGAAACCCTGTCAGCATCAATTCCCACTCTCTCCAAGCCGGGCAGTTCTGCATAGGTAACTGTCTCTGTTGCCACCTTCCTAGAGGCCTTAGAAAATGCCCTGAGCAGTTCTGGGGATTGGGCTTCAGAAGGAATGTGCCACCCTCACTCCTAGTTTTGTTCTTTCAGCAGTACCTTCTCTCAGGTGAAGACTGTTTGAAACAGACCTCCAAACCCTCCTGGGAGAAGCTAAGCCCTCCTCTCCCAACCCTCCACAGTAAAGGGGAGCACCTTCCTCTCCACCTATTCCCCTATTCTGACCCAAATCCCAACTTTCAAGCATCCTTTCCCCTTCTCTCACTTAATGTCCAGAGATATGCCTCCAGCTGCTTCTCTCCCCAGATCTCCCAGGTTTCTTACTTCTCTGGAGACCCACCATCTGTCCTAGGGATTCTCCAATTCCCTTCTCAGTGGAATTCTGGCTTTAGTTCAGCTTCCAGTTTTCTGGGGAGGGAGTCAGTTGAGTTCAGAAATTCCCAGGAAAGAGATATCAGCTGGTTCCAGACTGAAAGTTTCCCTCCCCCACTCTGGGATTTGAGGGATGTTTCTGCCCCATTTGTGAGCTGCTCCAGCTGCTCCAAAGTCTTTCCCTCTTCATTTTCCCCATTTGGCTTGGGAGGCCAAAATCCTTCTCTGAATGTAGAGGATCACATTCCCTTGGGAGGTACCCTCCCCACACTACTCCTTTGTTCCCCTACTAACTGGTTCTTCTCTCTCTTTTCCCTATTCTAGGCTCCAGAATTTCATCTTCAAGATCATGTTCCCCCCTGGCAAAAGGACTTTTCATCTTGTTACTCTTAGGGATCTTAGCAGTTGGGATTATTGTAATTGGCATTTTCACAAAAAATAAAAAGACAATCACAAGAATTCACAGGGGGATGAAGCTGAGGAGGAATGTGAAACGAGGAAAAAATGCAGTCAGAGAAGTTTCCATTACCCAGCCAAATCTCTGAATGATCGACTGGCTCAGGGCCTGAGCCCTGGGTGGGGAGGCTCATCCTACCCCCTTCCCTTGCTATGTCTTTCCTCTTTGGGTGCCTCCTTGGGAATACTTTCTCAGGTACTTTTCTCTCTCTCAAAGACTTTAGGAGAGCTATCAGACAAGAACTCCAAAGGTTCTTGCTATTTGAGGAAAGAGGGTCAGGCAATAAAGTCAAATCAAGTGAAAATTACCAAAACTGCTCTTTCCTCCCCACCTCTCTACCTTTAAAAATTCTTTGTTATAGAGGTGGCATTCTGGGTGAGGGAGGGAGAGGGAGATATTGGAAAATGTAAGTGATGCCCCAAATAAAAGAGAACAACAGAGCAATTTTTTAAAAAAAAAGTAAAAAAAATTTCAGAGTTTTTCCTTGAGCCTGTCAATCTATCCTCTGCCCTCTGGTGGGGCTGGACTTCATTGAAAACTATTTCCCTATTCTATCCAGATCTCTCTTCCTTCTTGCAACATTTCCTTCCCAGGCTGGCTAGGCCAATTTTCCAATCTGGGAGAAGAAGTAAATCTGGCAAATTAATTTACATTAAGAGTTAGTGGCTTAATGTGCTAATTCTCCCAAGAGAATTTACCTTTAAAAAGATAACAGGGAATAATTTGGAACCTAGGGCAAGGAAATCTTTAAGAGAAGAATTTTGGCCTGGGGAAGGATGGGAACCTGAAAAGGGAAGATAGAGTCTTCCTGGAGTTACAGTCTTTTTGCCTCTTCGACTCCAGAAATCTTTCAACTCTAGCAGATGAGCCCACTTAACCTCTATCCTTGGGTTCATCCCTTCTTCCAGTCTGGGGACAATTCAACCTGTGGGAAATCCTCAGGCAAGAAGGGACCAGCAATATTCCCCCCACCCCATCCTCTTCTTCATCTGCCCAAGCTTCCTTAACTCTGCCCAGTATTATTATGACTTGAACCAGCTGTTACCACCTCTCTTAGCTTCTTGAGACCCTTTGATCTTCCTTATCTTGGCCCAAGTATGGACAAATCTCTTTTCCCACTAGTACAGCTGAGGCAAAGATGAATTATTCAAATGACACCTTTATTTGGAAGTTGAGCAAAAAATAACCCAAATCCAAAAAGACCTGATCATGTCAGTCCCCTTCTTAAATACTTTTTAATGGTTCCCCTTTACCTATCAAGGTATTATGGGAATTTGTGATTTCATTATTCAGGACTCAAAGCCATTCCTCCTGCAATTTTTGGTTAACTAAAAGTCTGTTTTAATATTAACCTCACCAGTACAAAATCTTTTGCTTGGGATATAAAAATTTACTAAGAGCCTTAAGTTTTCCTTAGATAAGAAGCCCGAGGAAGAATCTCAACTGTCCCTGACTCCTCTGTGCCATTCTTCTCAAGCAGCCTATTTTAAATCTTCTAAATGTAGTTTAATCTGTAACCTGATTTAGTTTCTCTATAGAGTTTGTTTGACTTGCTTTGTTTCCTTAGTGGATGTGTGAGATTATACTGTTTAAGATTGTTCAACTTTTGTAACTCTGAAGAAAGTATTGGATTCTCTTAACTCTTACGGCCTAAGATGAATGTGCAAGATTGCAATATGTAAAAGAATTCTTTCTCTGTCGCTCTGATATAATTTTTCCTACGAGAGAACTCATAAGAATCCTAATCAGGGTTCAGGTGAACCTGTGCTTGAGCATAATAAAACCTAGGTTTTTACTTCCATAATTTCTGCATTGTGGTAAATATATTGGCAGCAGTTACCTAGCACATGAACTCAGGAGATATTTCTCCCATAACAAAGAGCTAGGAATGGGCCCTGTAATTTCATTGATACAAAAAGTATTTCTGATGAGGAAACTCCCCCTACTTATGTAGATTGGCACCTCCTTTGTAACTTTTAGCCTATTCTCTAGGCCCTAGAACATGGAGGGGATAAATGATTTAACTGAGAGGCATCATGATGTAGTGGGACTTAAGAGTCAGGAGGACCGGTTCTTGAAACTTATTCCAGATATTTAAGTAGCTATGTGACCCTGGGAAAAGTCACTCCATCCCTGGGCCTCAGTTTCTTCATCTGTAACATGAGAGAGGTAGACTTGATCACTTCCACGATCCCTTTTAGCTTAGTCTCTATGACTTTCCCAAGGCCATAGAATTAGACCTTAGGAGCATTACACCCTGAATCTTCCTGATTTTAATGCCAGGTCTCTATCTATGCTATTTCCATGGATATACTGGAGACAGCTCTAAGGGCTTGTTAAATTCTCAGTATAAGCATTTACACCTTGGAAATCTGCAAATACTTTGAATCAAGGCTTGATTTATTGTTTTGTTGATTCTTTAGACTTAATTGGATTTCAATCTAACTGCCCAACTTTATTTTATTCATTTTCCATTTGTGTACCATATGTTCAAATATACTAGATTATTTCTGTGTCCCCAGCTGTATCCTGCCCTCCTCCCTGTGACTGTTTCTACTATTCTCTTTTGATTAGCAAGGACTGTTCCCCAACTCATCTCTATTGAAATGCCTCACTTCCATCAATTCAGATATCATCCCTCCAAGAAGACCACATATGTGAATGTTCTATACAATTCAATTTAATAAACATTTATTGAGCAACTATTATGTGCAAGATTGTTTCATTGACATCCTTGAGATAGCTTGAGAGTCCCACTGGCATCTTGTAATGTCAAGAAGAATCAAGGAAGGCCTCTAGCTTGTTAGGCGGACCCCTTGTGATGAATGTATAGGAAGAAATCAATGAGTTGCACATGATGGACAGACATGGATGGGTGATGGGCTATATCATTAGCAGGAATATCCAAATTGATGAGATCATTGATACCTTTGAGCACTGAGATTTTTAAATGTGCAAGGCACCATGGAAGTTGCTGGGGATATAAAAATGAGAACCCAGTTCCTGCCCTTGAAGAATTAACATCTCTTTTAGGAAGACATGACATGTACACAGATAAGTATGATACAGGGTAGACTGTGAGGTAATCAAAAGAGAAATCCAAAATATTCTAGGAATATTTAAGGAGAGGGAATATTATTTTAGCTGGTGGGGGGGTGTGGAAGGGTGGGATAGGATCAGGGAGGACTTTACAGATAGGATGGCATTTGAGCTAAGCCTTGAAGAAAAGGGAAGGCTTTTGACAAGGTGGAAATCAGGGAATGCATTCCAGTCACAGAGATGGCCCCAGCAAAAGCATGAAGGTGAGAAAAGGTCCACACTGGACTGTAAGTTCCTTGAAATGAAGCCTATGTCCCATCTGGGTATCCTCAGCATTTAGTAAAGAAGGTTACACACAGTAGAAAGTTAATAAATGTTGGTTGAGTTGAATTTGATGAAAAGAAAAAAGGAAATTCAAAGGCACAGAAGCAAACAAATGTAAAGAGGACAGACTCCTGAATAGTATATAGTTATATATTGGCTAGGTTCACCTGTTTTGTCGGGAATCCAGGCCTTTTCCTATTCTTTACCTCAGCAGACCTCTCTTGTTTGCCTGAAGCATCTTCACTAGCCAGCTGCTAAGACTGATTCCATATATGCTCAGGCCTTGGCTCTGGTGCTGCCTGGCATGAAGATATGACAGGAATGGTTAAACATTGCATAGTGCAGCATGGCCCTAAGCAAACGACACTGGCCAAGGTATAGTCTTGATCATTGCTTGTACTCCCTTATGTTACTGACCTAGAGAGATGTGGATTAGATTACAGTACAGTTAAATAAACTTGGCATTGGCTGAATGTCCAGTTCTGTGATTATGGACTGATTTCAACTGTGACATCATGATGACAGAAGCAAAGAATGAAAGATCCTGCCTTTCCTATTTTTTGAGGATATATATGTATATATTTATGTGTGTATATGTATATATACTATATATTTGTGTGTATATACATATATACACACATACATATACATATTATGTAAATTTGATTCAGTAGAGCAAAATATTGCCTTTAAGAGTAGGAAGAAAGGAAGGAAGGATTGGGAAGGCACTCTAATGGCAATGTAGAGAGAACAAGGGATAACTTATGTACAACCTTCAATGCTCCATTGGTATCTGCACAAAGGATCTAAGGGAAGGCTCCTACAACACTGGATGAACAACCTGATGAAGATTTTTTATAAAATACAACATACAGAATAAGCAAGATGAGAAAAAGATGGACAGGTTGCAATTGACACCATTGGAGGGAGTGCTCCCATTGATGAGATCATTGATCCATCAAAGTCAAGTCAGCCTAGAAGGAATTCTCTAGTGGACTGTACCAAGAATCTATCCTTGGCCTTTTGCTGTTCAATAGTTTTATGAGTGACTTGAATGTAATGTCTGCAAATAAGACTGACCTGAAAGGGGTAGTTAAAACACTGAATTCATGGGATTAATATTTGCAAAGATCTTGATGGGCTTGATTTAATAAGATGTCATTTATTGATGCCATTTGCCTTTACATCACAGTCACTTCAATTCCAACCTCTAGACTGAACCTTCCTTCGTGACAAAAAAAAAAAAGGGAAAATATTTGATACAGTGACCACATCTGACAATGAATACAATCTTCTGTCCTATTCATCCCCTGCCTGTCTTCTGTGAAGATCCCACTAAGATTAAATTTAATATGGATAAATATAAAACCTCATACTTGGCTTTTAAAAAATCAACTTTTTAAGTTCAGGATGGGAGAGAACTGGTCAAATAACAGTTTGTGTGAAAAAGATTTGAGAGTTTTAAAGAACTAGAAGGAAGAGTTGAGACTGAAAGTCATGATGAGGACAAGAACAGGTACAGAAACATGGTAGTACAGTTGGTTTTGGAGGTTTGAGGTTGAAATCCCACCTCTGTCACACTGCCTGAGTAGTCTTGGGACTACCTATCCCACTTCCTTTCTTAAATCATAGATTAAGGACTGGAAGGTACATTAGAGATCATCTATTCCAACCCTCTATTTTATTAATAAGTAAATTAAGACCAAAGGGGTTCAGTGATTTACCCAGGGCTTATCTTATGTTTCTCTTCCATTATTTTCTTCATTATGGTGTTAAGGTTTTTTTGTCCTGTCATATTCTTCTGGGAGACTGATGATCCTTAGGTTGTCCCTATAGGTAGCCATATGTTTTGCTTATGATTATATTTTCTTTTAATGTTCTCGTTCTTTGCTTGTCTTCTTCTAGGTTGTCTTTCATTTCTGTGTATTTGTATTTCCAATCTATTGTTCTCTCTTTCATTTTTTTGGTGAGGCTTGCCATGGAAGATTCAAGTTTTTCTGTTCTGCTCATTATTTTTTTGCTGTGGAAGACATAAATTCTTACTCCATAATTTTCAAGTCTACTTTCTTGCCAAGTGTTGGATCATTTTCCCTCATTTTGCAATATTTATTCATAGATGCTTGAAATAATTTATTAGATCTGAAGGCCAAATTTCCATTTGTTACTGTCTCTCCTGTTGACTTATCTGTTTATGTTCAAGGTCTTTGAGATTTCTTCTCCCTGGAATCTTTGGCACTTTCAGTCTTTTTCCTACTCCCTTAAGTTTCCTCTTTGCTCACTTCTGACTCCCTTCCATCTGATTGTGGTTTCTTTGTGGGTTAGTTCTCAAAGTGCCGCAACTTCATCCTATACTGGATGATTCACAGTTAACCAGCCTAGGTCTCTGCCCCAACTAACTTTTGGGTAGTCTGAATTGGTCCAACTGGCTGCTGTACTCATCCTGCAATGCTCCCCTTATACAGTGTGACCTGTCCCACTCCCTTTGTTTCTTATTTCTTGGCCCAGCACCAGCACTTCAGAGCCTGCTAACACTGGCAGTTCAGAGCTTTGCAGCTTTGGTTCTTCCAGGTTGCAATCCCCAGCAGGCTCTTGCTCCTGAAGGGCTGTGGCCAAGTTGGCTATCAGGGCCCCTCAAAAACTTCTGCAGACTGGAGTCAGGGTCTCCAAGGCACTGGAAAGAGGGAGGGGGACCAGAGTATTGGGGTAGGTTTTGATGTAAGCCTGTGTCATGCTTGGCTATGTTATTTCAGCTTCACTGTGAGTAACACAGGAGGTGAGGGAGAGGTGCTAAGTGAGCTCAGGATCAGTGAATGTTTGTTCCTGGCTTTGGGTTGTCTTTTTTTTTTTTAACCTTGTTTTGGATCTTGGTGTCCTAGACCACGGAAACAGCTGAAGTTGCTTCATCTTTAGGTCATAATTTCTGTTTTGGGGAAATTTGAGAGGTGGTGGAGACTGGGAAAAATGTCTTGTCTACCATGTTGTTGCTCATGTGACCAGGAACAGAATAGGAACCAAGCAATCCATTTTCCTTTCAGTCGTCAGTTAACATTGTAACATTGAAAGCTAAAGGGCAGTTGGGTCTAAATGACCGAAATAGAAACTTAAAGCAGAAGGCCTTCAGATGCAAAATAAACATTCTCTGCCCTAAAAAGGGTAAGAGGCTTAAATAAATAGCTCAGCTGCCTATGAAAAAGCCGATGAAACAAAGAACTTACCTCCAAGGCATAACTGGCCCTAGTCAGCTCTTCTATATCAGGTTCCCAAAGGAGTATGTATGGGAGGTGAAACTGACTAAATTGAAACTAATTGCCCTAAGGCAAGTGGAATGGGCTACTGAAGGTAAGGGCTTGTAAACCAAGAAGAATTGTCAAATAGGAAAGACAAGACTTTATCCTTTTTCTGCTTGGAGGCATCTATTTGATAGATACCTCAGCTTTGACAGCAAAGGGGCAGAGGCTTCTGCAGATTCTAAGTTGTTCTAAGGGTTGTTACCTCAGTTTAAAAGAGACATAGAATAACATTCCAGCTGAAAAAGAGCCCCATTGAACTACTCATCCAAGCCAGTGATTGAAAGTAGAAAAGACTGTAGCTGTCCATTGAAGAATTAGCCCAGAGCAGATTGACCCACTACAACCTAAAAAAAGCCCAGTGGTCAACTGCCAATATTGGGGGCTTGGTCTTGTCCAGCTGCAGTGCATCCTGCCCAGTACTGTCTGGTAGCAAGACACCATACCCTAGGGCAAGCAAGCCCAACTGTACACTTTGCGAATATCCTCAAATAGTCTTTTCTGCCTATCTTGCTTTCAATGAGAAGCAAAAATGAAAATACAAATCATGTCTTCATTGACTCTACTTTCTTGTCCCCAGTTTCCGAATCTTTGGCAATGCTTTCTATATTTTTCCCGTTATCATTTTTACCCACATGAATCATCCATTTTGACAGAAAGATTCTCTGTTAACATCTTGGATACAAGACCATTGTATAATAATACTCTTCTTGCTCTGACAGAGACTGTGCATCTACCCCATCATTTCTTGGAGGACAAGTAGTTGTTTTCTCCTCAGAACATCCAGCTTCTTCCTCTTCATAAACCTCAATTCCCCATGTCACTCCTATTCATAATTATTGTGTGTCCAAATAATTTCCCAGCATACCATCCTCATGGAAATCACCCTTGAAAATTTTGAGGATAACCCAACAGACACAGCAACTGTTATTGAGGCTATATTCACCATTCCACACCTGTAGTCTTCCTTCACACTACAGAGAGGAGGGAGAGGGGCAGCTAAGTGGAGCAGTGGATAGAGGACCAGCCCTGGATTCAGGAGGACCTGAGTTC